GAGGGACAGGCTGCAATTGGATCTGGACAGGTTACAGGGGTGGGTGGATGAGAATAAGATGGGATTCAATACTGACAAGTGCAGGGTACTGCACGTAGGGAGAAAGAACCAGCAGCATACCTACAGGCTGGGGAACTCCCCTCTTGTCAGCACAGAGGCAGAAAAGGATCTTGGAGTCATTATAGACTCCAAGATGAACATGGGCCGCCAATGTGGGGAGGCGGTCAGGAAGGCTTACTGCACCTTGTCATGCATCCATAGATGCATCAGGAGCAGATCCAAGGAGGTGATCCTTCCCCTCTATGTGACACTGGTCAGGCCACAGCTGGAGTACTGCGTCCAGTTCTGGGTGCCGCACTTCAGGAGGGATGTGGACAGCATTGAGAGGGTCCAGAGGAGGGCCACCCACATGATCAGGGGGCAGCAGGGCAGGCCCTACGAGGAGAGGCTGTGGGACCTGAACCTGTTCAGCCTCCTCAAGAGAAGGCTGAGAGGGGATCTGGTGGCCATCTGTAAACTGGCCAAGGGGGACCAGCAGGCAATGGGAGAGTCCCTGTTCCCCCAAACACTACTGGGAGTAACAAGGCATAACGGCCATAAGTTGACAGAGGGTAGATTCAAGCTAGATATCAGGAGGCACTACTTCACAGTCAGGGTGGCTAGGATCTGGAACCAGCTTCCAAGGGAAGTGGTGCTCGCTCCTACTCTGGGGGTCTTCAAAAGGAGGCTAGATAGACACCTTGCCGAGGTCATTTGACCCCAGCATCCTTTCCTGCCCACGGCAGGGGATCAGACTTGATGATCTGCTCAGGTCCCTTCCAACCCTATCAACTACGAAACTATGAAACTATACATGGGAGTCAAAGATACTCATGTCTGTACGGACAAACGCATGCATGAGCGAACACACACTTATACACACCTGTGGTTGTGTGTGCGTACAAATGTACTGGCGTACATATGCACCCCTGGAAATGTACTCATATGTGTATGCCCATATACACACACAGATATGTCCTTCTAGGTACAACTCCAGAGTGTGTTTTAAGACCTATCACTTAGATTCTTCCCCTATACCCGACCTGGATGCTGGTGGTTGCAGACAGGAATATCTTTGAGAAAGCAATGCGGTGCCACCATAAATTAATGTGAAGAAAGGACCAAAAGAGGCCTTACCTCAAACTCCTGGATGACAGTAGCCAGCTGGGAAGATTTAAGGCAGGTTTCATCCAGCAAAGCCAAATTCCGATCAAACTGCATGATGTATGCTGTGTGGTGATTGAACCTTGATTCTCTGGAGAGAAAAATGTCAGCCACTTTCTGGTGTTCCTCCCTGAAGCCACATAAAGAGAAGAACAAGAAATAAATAACAAAAAAGCCCCACTGGTTACACAGATTCTATTCATCAGTCCCATAATGGGGAATGACATTGCAAGCTCTCAGCTACAGCCTGGGTTTAACTGGCAGGAAATGAGGAACCGCACTGAAGTGCTGGCCATCAACTTGAGCTGCTGAAGAATGGCCCTTCTCTGATGCTTGTCCCTTCACTGTAAGTGTACCTATTGCAGAAAAACCTTCATTTTGGCAGAATGTCTTCCTTGGGAGAGAGAGCTCACATTTCTCTAAGCAAATTTTCCACTTCTTCCAGGGGGAATGAGGACCTTTGTTCTGGGTTCTGGCATTAGTGGGAGACAAGCTACATCCTCATATCCCTTTTGTGTACAGTTCCTTTCCCACCCTGACCCCTGCCATCTCAGCACTGCCATTCCACTCCTGTCTACCCAATAGTGCAGCATTTAACTATTACCAAAGAGAAATCCCTAGCAAGAAGTGAGCCAGTCCACGCCCAAGGCTGCAGAGACACTGCTGCACACTGCAGAAAACAGAATTGCCTCTGAGTGATGTCCATAGGGATGTCCAGGCAAGAGATTGTGGGAATAGGCCAAGAGAGTTGCCTTGGGAGTTTCAGGATGGTTAGAGAATACAGCAGTGAGAATATAGCCCGGGGAGTAACAGCTAGAGCTGGAGTTGGCTATGGGGCTGTGGGGCTTGTTTAGTACTCGGAGCTAAAGTCAGTGCCCATTTTCACTGACCATGCATTTTGTACCCCAGTAGCATCACTGGAAGCTAGAAAGACTGAGAACAGGCAGCTTGTGATTCGTTATCTTGCATCTTCACTTCCAAAATAGCTTTTACAATTCACTGTCATTTCTAATGATCCTTTGGCAAATGAAAACCAACACACAATTCCTCTGTTCATTATGTGCTCTGATTTGTAATTGTAAGGCTGATCAGGGCTGCAGTGCTGTGAATGCAGGATAACTATGGTAGGCATCCTGTTGTGAAAAGCTGAAGTAAAGTGAGCCATAAATGAAAACGACTCCTGATTGGCTGGAATGTAGTGGGGGTGGGGCTAGGGAGCTATATAACTTGCCCCAGCTTTGAACAAGTCAGAATAGCCTGGGATCTGGGGCTAGGTAGAGGTCTGCTCTGGTTCTCTGGGACACAGATTGGGGCTGGGGTGTTAGCATGGATTAGGCAGAGGGTTGTCCCAGTTATTTGAGACACCAGTTTGAGGTTGGAAGAGGCCTGACCAGCTTAGAAAACATACTCCAGCTCTGAAGACCTAGGTAGAGCTTGGCTCTATTGTGGACAGATTTAGTCCATTTAGGGAAGCTCCAGTTTAGGCAGAGGTCCTTAGCAGCTTTGGAAGCTTCTGTTTTAAGCTTGGAAATCCAGCCAAGGCAAAGTCTTGTCCTCACTGTGTCAGGGGCTCCCTTTCCCTTTAGCTGAAAACTATATTGTTAGAAAGCTGTTCTGGGAATCTCTGTATCTTAAGTTAATTCAGTTTTCATGGCATCTAAAACTGGGGAAAAAGCTAGCTTTCTTTCTTTCTTTTCTTTTTTTGAGTGTTTTGGAGGATTCTGTCCCTCCCCCCTCTTCCACCTGTGTGGTGTCTGAGTCTGTGGCTCACTTTTCACCCATACTCTTCTGCTTTTTGACAATCATTTAGAGACCTTGATCACTTTGAGTCCCAGGGTGCTAGGCACTATACAAACAGATCGGAAATGACAGTGCACGTGAGCCAGGAGTTACACACATTGATTAAGGAGGTTGCTTGGAAGTTCTCGGATGTACACAATGGTTTGTTACTGTACAGCTGCTTGGAACCACTGAGATGCTTGTATTTGGTGTGGGGGATACAAAAGCAGTATGTGAACATTTCAGACATGAGAAAAAAATATTTTTCCCAAACCTACCGTACCGTTGCAAGCTTAGCTCTCCTTATACAGCATACTTGTTAAAGATGCTTAGCTTGTTCTCCTTCTAGGAGTGTAGTGGCTGAGTAGTTAAGGTATCTTGCTATACGTCTGGTGGTATGAGTTCAAGCCCTGCCTTGGGTTTATGGCAAAGGCCACTTCCAACTGTAAATGAGTACCTGATCACATGGGCTGGGGAGTCAAAGACTACTGGATGTGATGCTGGCTATAGAAAGTGGTGTGCCTTAAGCATACAAGTTCAGTTTGGGTAGGCATCTTCTTTTGATGGACTCCTAACCTTCCTGAAAGTACTGCACAGACAAGGAGAAGCAAAGTATTTTCAAACTTCTGAGGATGAGCTGAAGCCATCAAGCCAGGCAGTCACTTACCAGTTGAGGACTCTCTCTTCTAGCTCCCCCAGGATCTCCTGGTGCAGTGTATAGATTTCAGGGAGCTCACTCAAGCCTTGCTTCAGCTTTGCTTCCTTCTCCTCACTTTCATCCTCATCCCCAAGCACTTTCAAGACTGCCTCATAGAAATCCTGTGAAGAGACATACAGAATCTGAGGCAAGAGAGTATCATTTCTTCTTCTGGGTGCTTCAGTTTTTATAATCAATCTTGAAATTCCAAAATTCATTTATAAATAGCCAAGAAACCTTCTAGGGAGCACAGGATGCTCCACAAATATGGATGTCATGATGGAAAGGGGAGTGTAGAGCACAGGATACATTTTCTTCCATCCACTTGTTTCACAGTTACTGCTACCTTCAGGTTAAAGGACATAGAACTGCCAACCCCAGAATACTAAAAATGTTTAGCTGTCTTCTAAAAAAGCCTAATAAAAGAAAATAAAATAATAATTTGAGCTTCTTTGCATTTACTTTCTGGTTTATGAGCTTTTTTAGAGCACTTGGGTCACATTTTTATGCATTTCCCAAACTTAAAGTTAAAAAGAAACATGAAAGCCCTGATTTTCACATCACCCCATGAGTCCAGCTGCTGGGCCTTTATGGAAAGCCTCAAATATATTGTGAGTTCTGATAAAATAGCTAGAACTGATATCACTGAATCCAGTTCGTTACTTACAGAAGGAAGAGTGAGAGGGAGGTAATATAAATTCAGCTTCAAAAACAGGCATTTCCAATACAGAATTCAATGCAACTGAGACCTATTACAATATATTTGGAAAGTGCCTTTCATCCCAATAAGTTTTATTAATTATATGCCCACAGGAATAATTTTCGCCAGTAGTGAAAAGCAGGCACCTCCAGTGTGGAATATGCAGATATTTAACAGTGTGCAGCAAATTATCCAGCAGTTTAGGACTAAGTGAAAAATTACCCATCCAACTGATACTATTGGAGGAATTTACAGCAGGTCTCAGATGGGAAGATAGTCAAAGACTAGGGCTAGCAAACTTATTCTTGCAACTCATGGTATAGGATCAGTTAGAGCCACCTTTTGAACTCCAGACACCAAAACTCCAGACTCTCAGAGTCTATTTAGAAAATAAAGAAAGCACAATACAATAAATGGTCTTAGTACCTGTCCCTATGGCCTCATTATGACATATCACTCATCATAATTAGCCTTGACGTAATGGTAATCGCTACCAACATCAGGCTACAAAATGTGTACATACCTGAAATGCCATCATGACACAAAAAAGATAACAGAATAAATTAGATGAAAGAAATCAGTGAGATTGGTATCTCTTATTTTTCATGAAAAGCAGCGAAGTCCATATGTTACACTGATGGAAATACAATGAAAATGCAACTCACATGACATATGGGAACCAGAATTTAAGTCGGGGGTGGGCAATTATTTGGGCTGGAGGGCCGCTTAAGGCGTTTCGGTGAGCTGTTGCAGGTAAGGGGTGGGGAGTGCTGACCCAGCCTGGTGCAGCACAAGGGGCAGGATGGGGGAAGACGGGGCGATTGATCCTATCTGACCATGGGTCCGTTCACCCTGCTCCTACTGCTGGTTTCATAGGTAGGGACATGGCTGCCCCCTGGCCCTCCACTGTCATCGCCTCGCCATCTCAGCCCCAGCCCCAGCTGTCCATCTCACTCCTGAACACTGCTCTCTGCTTGCCCGTGGCCCCATCTCATCCACCCAGCTGAGTGCACCCTGCCTACCGGAGTCCTGAGCTGGTTCCCAAGGAGACCCTACCCACCTGCCTGCTCTGTCTGATGCCCCTGACGGTTGGCGTGGGGTGAATGAGCTGAGGTTACTGGGCAGTGGGGCCAGGTCTGGCAGCAGCAGCAGAGACTGGCGGCAGCAGTTGGGCAGAGCAAGGCACCGCATTTGGCTGCTGCACTGCCTCTGCACGCTTGGGAGCAGCAGGACCGGGTGCACATGCCACAGTCCGGGCTGCCCCCCACACCTGGACCGGGCAGGACTGAAGGACCTATCACGAGCCAGACAGAATCCCTTGGTGGGCTGGATCCGGCCTGCAGGCTGTATTTTGCCCACCCCTGATTTAAGTGGACTCTGAACGCATGATCACTCGGAAATGTCTTACCACAGAGTTTTCAGGGAGAACTGCCAAGCCGGACAGAGTAATTGGAATTATAAATCAAATTCCCTAATGTTGTTTCTTCTCGTCCTTTGATATGGATGCTTGTTGACCTCTGCTCATTTCTTTTGCTTTCCCAAAGACTCTAACTGTAAATATGTCGGGGTAATGCATTGGGGGTAGCCAGGGAGCGCATCTTTTGAGAGTGTCTATGAGACGCAAGACAGGAGATGAATTACCCAAACTACTAAAGCCACAAGTTAAACCACCTAAATGGTGTTTGCTTTATGAAATTCTGGCAGCCAAGTTGTAGAAATCAAAATAAATACAATGGTCCAAGAGCATCACTGCTGTAATGATATTGGAGTCTGTACAATTACACGAAGGTTGAATCTGGGGTAAGGCTGTATGAAGTGTCTAATTTTTCATAAGACCATTAAAAGGCTCTAGTGGTTTTCCTCCTGTTTTTCTTTACTCCAGTTCTACTCTACAGGCACCACTTTGAAGTCTCAAACACATGCTTCTTCTGTCTAGTGTAGTGTTGTGTTGCTTAATCGTGCTCATTCCTGTTGCCTTTTCAGGATAGGGAAGTGATTCTGTGAGTAGTCTGTTAGGCAAAGTATTACATATATGATGGCCTTGTTGCATCAAATTCATCTACTAAATTCAGTGGATATAAGGACAATAACGGATAAATGGCATTTTTTTTCCGCTCAGGGTTGACTAGAAAACAAAGCTACCTTGAGAAGCTACCTTGATTTATCACTTCCAGATCCTCTGTACTCCTGTTGGTAGGTAGGAAACTATAACCTGAAGGAGTTGAAAGTCTGAGAAAATTCTAAATGGCCAGACAAGAGGTATGACTGCAAAACAATACTCCAGCACATCATTCTTTAGTATCACTCCTGATATTATCGAGAGAGTGCCTAGTCTAGAAATACCAGCCTAGTATTTCTGAATAGCCTAAGGGTATCCTGAGGAACTGTTTATAGATCCAACTTGTGTTCTTGATTTCCCTAAAATGGATATATTCAGAGATAAGTCTGAGCCAGGAAGCTGGGTCTTCCTTGGTCTGGACCAGGTAGGGCTCTTGCAGTAGAATTTCCTGCTTTTGCCAATCTGGTCTTGAAAGGCAAAATAGCTGGATTGCACATTTTCTGTGAAAATAAATGAGCAATGGAGAAACCGGCAGCACATTCTAGCTGGGGATGAGTGCAGGAGCTGGACAGCCATACAGAATCACTTAAAGTCATTTGGAGCCTTTTCCAATCCTTCCTTTGCATCCCAATAAACAAGGAAGTGTCTGGAGTTTTTATTGCACAGAGAGAGAGAGAGAGATGGAAAAAAATAATTGAAAAGCCAGCTTGAAAGACCCCTGTTTACTGTGGGGTCTGAAAGTTCTTGACGACTCCTCACAGAGTAGCAGCTGCAGGTGGGGAGGTTACTGAGCTTCCTGTTTCATAAAGAGATTATCTGTCCTTATCTGACCTTCCTTTGCTTTTGTGTGTGTGTGTGTGTGTGTGTGTGTGTGAGGCTGTAAAGTGAGGGGGGTGCTGCATTAGCTGTTGTCATAGCTAACTAGCCCCTTGCATGCATGTGAAGCCAGCATGGGGATACAGCCTGGTGAGTCACATAGACAGACCCTGGAAAAAACTGTGTTTGACCACACAGGAGATCCTTCTTTAATTGTGCTTCTTTAATTATGGGTCTCCACCCATAAACCTCTCCTCCTGCCCCAACTCCAGTGTTGCTTTTGTTTGCAGAAATATTGTACTGTGGAAGTCTCAAATACACGCTAGCAAACCAGATGCTGTCAAGAAGGGGATTGTTTACTGGTTTAAATTTGCACCTAGCATCCCTAGGAATCCTGCTGG